TTAGGACTGTGTACATGTAACTACTCCTTAACTAGGGGCAAGGAGTTCTACATTCAGCTGTTTGAAGGCATCCACAAGGCTGATGTGGCCCTCGGTGAAAATGAGTTTGACACCCTGCTCTACACTTACTAAAAACACACTCACTGAGTAAAAATGAACCGAACAGAAAACAATAGTATCAGGAAAGAGTCTACTCTAGAAAGAGTTTACTCTAGAAAGGAGTAAAACAGGAAAATGATATAGATTTAGGCACATTCTATATCTAGTTGAACATGAATGACTAAAATACCTATGTAAATTCCGAAACCAGCCAAAAGACAGTGAGACAAAATATATAAATCCAAAAGCACTATAAGGAGAGGGCATGATGGGAGGTAAAAATTATCACAAAAATTTTAAACACAGAAATATAATAGATAAAGGATAAGTGACTGAGACCCAGAGGGGTTAGATATAAGCTAAAACTAATTCATGACCTCTATCCTTGGCAGGTTCTAATACTCAAGTATGTCTGAAAAAGACAATGCAGAGTGGCACTGAAGCCTGGAGGACTAGATGAAAATTCAAAAACCGAGTAAATAGACCTCCAGATTCTTTCTCCATTTATGCACAGATACAAGGATAAAGAGTACACTATTATTTACACACATGCATCAAAGCATTATACACACACATTTTTTAATAAACACCCTTTAAAATGAAGAAAAAAGTTAAATTTGTGGTTCTTAATAAAAAGTTAAAATCTACAGTTTTTTAATAACTAAAAAAGATGTAAATATGTGAACTAATCTACTTTCCTCACAGTGCAGTTGGACAATGAAAATAACTACATCATTAAAAAACTGTTTTTTCCTTTAGGACTCAATGTTGATTACATAACTACTCTATATTCTCCAAGGGAGTATGACAAACAGACTTCGATTTTCTATCTGATTCTAGCCCTCTCTATCTGGTAGTTCTGAAGTTCAAAACAAACTAACATACTATCTAAATAAGTTCTAAGAAAAAAATCAGAGAATATAATAACATCTTATGCTTTAAAGACAGGGACTTCTGCAGTTCTTAAGTCATTCATAATGTATTTGAAAAACAAGATGAGAATAAAATATTTTGTCATACGAAAAGGACAAACAGAAGTTGGCAGGAGTGGTGTAGGAGTAAGAGGGATTTTAAAGGAGCACTGAACAGATAAAAATAGTGGGGCAGTCAGTCCTTTCATCACTAGAAAACAGGGGGTAAAATGTCACAATATCTCTGAATTACTGAGGGATTCTATTTCCAGCAACGTGGCAGATTGAGTACCCCAAATGACTTGAATGCCAAAAGAAATACAAATAACATATTTGTAATTTGCTTATATATTGCAATGACTAGAATTAATAACTTGATTTAAACACACACACAATATCTTTCAAAATTAATTAATGTATTTCCCAAAAGGTAAAAATTATTAAAGCCAGGGACTGAAGGAAGTCAGAAAAATCAGAGGTAGGCAAAACAAATGGCTTGAGTATTTTCAAAACTGGTGATTTGAACAACCTTGTTCACAACTAGGGGTGACTAAAGATAAAACCCTGCCAAATAATTTAAAACCTGAAAAAAATGGGTAAACTCCTAGAAACACACAACCTTCCAAAACTGAATCAAGAAGAAACAGAAAATCTGAACAGACCAGCTACTACAAATAAAATCAAATTAATAATAAAAAATCTCCCCCCAAAACAAAAGTCATGGACTAAATGCCTTCACATGTGAATTTTAGCCAACACTCAAAAAAGAATCAACATCTATCCTTCTTAAACTATTCTAAAATTCAACAGGAGGAAAGGCTCCAAAGCTGATGTGAGGCCACCATTATCCTAATTCCAAAGCCAAACAAAGACATTGCAAAAAGAGAAAATTAGAGGCCAGTATCCCTAATGATGCAAAATCCTCACCAAATATTAGCAAACCAGATCCAGCAACACATTGAAAAGATCATACAGCATGATCAAGTGGAATTTATTCCTGAGATGCAAGGCTAATACAATATTCACGAATCAATTAATATGATATACCACATAAACAAAATAAAGGATAAAATCATACAATTATATCAATAAATTCAGAAAAAAACATCTGACAAAACCCAACATCTGTCTATGACAAAAACTCTAAGCCAAGTATGAATACAGGGTACATAGCTCAACATAATAAATGCCATACATGACAAACCCACAGATAACATCATACTGAGTAAGAAAAAACAAAAAGCATTTTCCTTAAGATCAAGAACAAGACAAGGATGTCAACTTTCACCCGTGTCATTCAACAAAGTATTGGAAGCCCTAGTACATCATCAGACAAGAACTAAAAAGCATCCAAATGGGAAAGTAAAACTGTCATTATTTGCAGATGACATGATATTCTATTAGATCACCCTAAAGATTCCACCAAAAAGTTATAAGATTTGATAAATTCAGTCAAGTAGCAGAATACAATATTAATATTCAGAAATCAATTGTAATTTATACACCAATAACAAAATATCAGAAAGAGAAAATAAAAGAAAACAATTCCATTTACTACTGCATCAAAAAATATGTATATATTGGGTTGGCCAAAAAGTTCATTTGTTTTTTTCTGTAAGATGGCTCTAGTAGCTCTTAGTTGTAACTTCATTTAAAACAATTTTGTTAGATTGTATTGTAACAGCTATCATATCAGCATGCATTTAAAAAAGTTATCAAAATTGGTGAAATTTGTGTCACCATTGAAGATGGAAGAAAATAAGCAACATTTTTGGCATATTATGGTTTATTATTTCAAGAAATATAAAAATGCAACTGAAATTCAAAAAAAAAAAGATTTGTGCAAGCTATGGAGACAGTGCTGTAACTGATTAAATATGTCGAAAGTGGACTGCAAAGTTTTGTGCTAGGTATTTCTCACTGGACGATGCTCTGTGGTTAGATAGACCAGTTGAAGTTGAGAGCGATCAAATCAAGCCACTAACTGAGAACAATCAACGTTATGCCACACAGGAGATAGCTGATATACTCAAAATGTCCACATCAATAAAGTTATTGGTGAAAATAAAAAATGTGTCCTTTATTTTATGGAAAAAACTACACAAACTTTTTGGCCAACCCAGTATCAAGACTAAATTTAACCAAAGAGGTAAAAGACCTATACTTACAAAATTATAACACATTAAAGAAAGAAACTGAAGAAGATACAAATAAATGTAAGCATATGCCATGCTGAGGACAGGAAGAATTAACATTGTTAAAATGTCCAGACTACCCCAAACGATCTGTAGATTCAATGTAATCCTTAACAAAATAACAATGATGTTTTTCAAAGAACTAGAACAAATACTCCTAAAATTTTTATGGACCACAAAAGACTCTGAATAGCTACAGCAATCATGAGAAAGAAGAACAAAGTGCAAGATACCATGCTACCTAGTATCAAACTATACTACAAGGTTATAGTAATCAGAAAAGCAAGGTATTGACATAAAAACAAAGACATAGATCAACAGAACAGCCCTGAAATAAACCTACACATACATGTTCAATTAATATATGACACAGGAGACAAAAACATACAATGGAATAAAGAAAGTCTATTCAATAAATGATCTTGGGAAAACTGATCAGATACATACAATAAAATGAAACTAGACCACCTTCTTACACCATACACAAAAATAAACTCAAAATGGACTAAAGGTTTAATTTAAGACTCTTTAAAAGTTGTTATACATATATCAGGAGTTTCAACAAAATAATCAAGGGACAAATCATTTTAATTTACAAGAACTATTTCAGAGTTAAAACAAAAAGAGGGATCACTCTCTTGCTTGCTTTATGGGGCTAGCCTATCCTTATATGATATACTACATCTGTTGTAATAATAAAAAATTTCCTATAATCAAGAGCAAATAGCAAAGAATGGGCATGTTCAATATGTTAGAAAAATGATTCTTGCATCAAGAAATCATTGAGTAAAAAAAATTCTTAAAAACTTTGTTCTAGCTCCAGAGTCCTATAATTTTATAATGGACATTCATATTTAATATTAAACATAAACATCAATTTCTGACAGTAAAATAATGCTTAATTCTGACAATCTGAGATAACTAGATTTCAGTTAAAATTTCAATATAGAGAAAATGAGAGAGAAATCAACATTGAGTCATAGTCAAAACTGCATAGGCTGTATCTGCTTTAAATAATAGTATGAATAGTGATCTTTATGATATCAGGATTCACGCACTTACATTCTAATAATATGAACAAGGTGTTGGCCTGTTCAGCAGTGTCAAAAATGTATACCTTGTTATTAAAATATAAATTCACATTATTTACTTTGAGATTTAAAACTTTTCCAGGTTCACACACTGTTTGAGACAGATATGTCAAAGTTCAAAAGGGTATGAATTTACAACTGAAAAGACTGCAATAACAGAAATCAAGTACTTATTAAGGAGTCACACCTCTAATAATCACACAATTACTTACATTATTTAAATAAATGAGAAACCTACATATACCTCATGCTTGATATAAATAATATATTCATTTGAATATTTATATGTTATAGCCATTCATAAGTCAAGTGGCTTAAATTAAGATAAACCTACTCAACAGTCTTAGTTCAGCCTAACGTATGTATCTAAAACCAACTTCTTTCACAAGTTAATGTTATCTTTTTAGCATGTTAATGATTATACTATATTGAACATAATCTTTTGTACATAGTCTCCACTTACATACATATAGAAATATATGATTATGATTGAAAGATGGATGCCAATAAACAGCATCGCTTAGTTTATGTTCATTGACTTTGTGAATCTGTTTTTAGATCACTTTGTAGATCACTTAGTTTACCTTCATGTAGGTCTTTCAATGAGAAGGCTGACTTACATATGCACTAGCATATTTTAAAAAGCAAAATTAAAATTATCAGTATAAGATAAAATAACCATAAAATAATATCTTTAAATGTACCTTCTTCAAGGATGGGTCTTGGGATGACAAATGGAATCTCCTGCAGAGGTTCCATGTACTTGTGGCCAGCACTGATAATCTTTATTTGAGGCAAGCAGACAACAAGCGTCCCAGGCATGCTGGTTTGTCCATGGTACCAACTTCTTACAGTTCCAGGAATGTCACCAGACACAATTGTACTTGGGGAAGGCAGGCTATCATTGGGAATGAACACACAACAAGACTGTACTTCAAGCTAGAAAAGAAAAGCAGAATTGAAATATCTGGATCAGACTAAATCTGGGAGTAAACAGACCCTCAAACACTAACATCTTTACCAGAATAAACAGGCAAGCAAATAAAATATTGCATACTTGAAGGTTTTGTTTTTTGCTATAAATTTGATCAAAAGGGCACAGTGACATATGAAAATATATCTGCCTTTCCACAGTTCTTTCCAAGAAAATAATTGAGTTACAAAATGTGCTGGCATAAAAGGTGAGAAAACCCTCCTCCTCTTGCAGTTCATTACATTTTGTTAACACCATCTAAGCCCTTAGAACTGACTAGCATTTTATTGCTCTTGCTTAAAAAAAAAATTAAATTTAAAAAGACCACAAACTGATATTTCTATGTGAATTTGGCTCTTCCTGTTTTACTTTACAGACAAAAATATAAGAAAAAATGTTTAAAATGTTCAGATTATATCTCTAGGCAAACAATTAAAACAGAACATGTTTCTAGCCCATACTTTCTCTTTTTATACACATGTACACCAAGGCTCAAGTGTGTGAGTATCACATTTGTGTGTATATATAGATACATGGTAATGAAGAAAATTCAAAAGACTTCAAAATCAGAGTGTATTTCTTGCTTTTGTCATACTTCAAACTATTACCACCTACCCTGTGGTTTCAGGCTTCCCCAGCCCTGATATAGTTACTCAGATTGCTAGGCCCTTAGAGAGTTAAAAGAAGACTAAGCCCAAATCAAAATTTGACTTCATCTCATCATGAGTTCTCAATTCAAAAGCAAAGTAGGCTAAAGTCTAGTAGTCTTAGTTGGTTCTTACAAAGTAATATTCTGTACCTGGTTAGTAAATTGCCCAAACAGACTAGCATACTTGAATTATTTTTAAACTTAAAAGTATGACCTGTTAATTTTCTATAAAATATCTGACATATAAAAGTATTACCTGAAAGTATAATAAAAAATAAAATTTGTTTGGTTGATAAATACTTTGATAGGCTAGCAAATTATATTAGCAAAGATACTATATTTTATAAATGATAACTAAGAATATAGTAACATTACTTCTCTTGGGGCTAATATATTCCTTATTGAGAGCAAAAATGATTATATAACAAGTCTGGAATTCCTTGTTACAATAAATAATTTCCTAGCCTTATAAATAAGCAAACTTAACTCATCTTTGCTTCAACAGTTCTGCGCATGGACAAACTGATGAATTTAGTCAAGAAAGATATAAGTAAAATTTTGCAAAAATAAATACATTGGGTCATGGAGTATGAGCTCATTTTTTAGTTCTAGAATTTTCTCTTGCAGCTTAGATTAATTTAAGTATGTATATGTTAAGTAGTTAATTGATTTAGTATCACAACATATTGTTGTGAAATAGAAGAGTATATCGTCTCAGATGTGTTACATTTGAGTTCTCAAGTTTTTAACATACAACATTATTGATGCGTAATCACACAAGTTAAAAGGGCACACTGAGGGCATATTCTCCTACATCAGTTACAGCTACAGGATCAAACTATAAAGAATCCGTATTTTACACTTCATATAGGTACTAAAGTTCTGCTAAAAAATGCTTTCAATGATGTGAGGTAATTAGTTTAATATGCCACGATATATAATCATATACATGTAAGCCCTGCGAAACAAACTTAAATTGTGCCAAAATTTCCAAAATTAACTTGTTACAAAATTCCACTAATTCAGAAATAAATTATTTCATCAAATTTATCAACCTTTAGAGATGCATACAGAATCGGCAATATTAGCATGAAATACACAACAACTTTCTAAAACATGATATATGTTGTGAGGATTTCTTAATGATAAGAACCAAAACATATACATAATCCAAATTGCTCAAACTTATAATGTTACATCTATTATATATACTAAAGCTATCACATAAATCTTTTTACACTTTTAAAATAACTGTTAAACTGTACATCTAAAATTGTGGTTTTAATGTAAAATGTTGAATGATTTATGTAAGTGAACAGAAATCTGCAGCAGTAAATTCTGCATTAATGTAAGGATCTGACAATCCAAGGGAAAGAAAATGAAGTAATCTGCCAGTAAGAAGTCCTCAAACTGGGGGTCAGATCCTGTTCATGGAAACCATCTGGTTGGGACCCTCTGAGCCACACCAAACACAAATGATCTTTTAAAAAAATATCCTATTCATTAATGCATCACAGCTGCACTGAGTGTTACTTCATTTTTCCATGGCAACATCCTTTCTGTTTCAAGGATCTTATTTCAGTTTTGGTAGCAACGTGTTCTTTCCCCAATATTGAACACATTCATGTGTTAAAGTGAAGGGATTATTGCAAATTCTTGAAGGAGAACCACCTCTATTTTGATTCCTATTAGGTCAAGGGCTACATATTTAAGTATTATATACTGAGAATAAACCAATAAAGTTGAAATTATTCAGTATTCTTATTTTAATAAATAAAATGACTGTCATGTAGTTTTTTTCTGAAGTTCTAAGTTTGTGTGACAGTTAAAAAGATATATGCCTTTGTGCACGCCCACATGTAAGGTATGGTAAACTTAGATTTTTCTAGTTTGTGAGCTCCATACTGTGATACAAGTCAGTTAAAAAGAAGAGGCTAAGATAGGTTTCATTTACTTACGAATCTGAATATTTTATTTAGGCCACTGTCTATCGTATAGAACACTTTACATTAAATGCTCTAAATGTTATACTACATTCTCTGCCCTTTTAAATAATGTTCCTATTTCTTATTACCAAATAACATGTTTCTCTTTCTTTAAAACCTGAAACTTAGGTATAATTATTTTTTGCAAAATTGTTAAAGAATGAAGTGTTCTCTTTGTGAATATATTTTATTTTTTAGGAAACAGTTTCAAATAAAAAAACAAAAATGAGCAAACATTTCAGGTTATAATTTCATTCATGTTTTCTTTTTTTACTGATGAATTCTTCAGTGTTTACCATGAACTGATCTGGAAGTAAGGAACACAGAGACAAAAGATATAGTCCGAGTGCTTAAAAAACTTGAAACAATAGGGTTTTAAAATACCTACAGCCCTAAAGAATGTTCAATAGAACACAAGCTGCATAATGTCAGACAATGCCTATTCGTTCACTCTACAGTCTCAATACACAGTACAGTGCCTAGCATGTACTAGGTCCTAAGTAAATAATTATGAAATAATTGGACACAATTATTTTTATTAGCATCAGATATAAATGTCAATTAAAAATAATCATTTACCACAGAGACACCTGGTAGGGTAATTTAAATAGTTGACTTATCAAGAGATGAGTTCAACTCCAGCCTGGGACCTCTGACAAGTTATTTCAACTGCCTATGACTTCACACTTGACCTCACCTGCACATGCAATGAAGTCAGCATTGACAGAGAGATGTAACACAATAACTGCCTCCTAAGTGTCTGCTAAGTAAACAAAGTCAATAAACATACACTAAATATCTACGACCTGCCAGATCCATATACTAAGCCTCAGGGATTTATAGGTGTTCACAGTTCATTTGTTTTAAGATGCTGTTGCTTACGGCTGAACTATCTATGTACATAGGGTTAACCAAAATATTTCATGTGTACTACAACAAATATACAATTACCCAAATCACAGTTTTCCTATTTTATAAATTCTTAATACTTTATGAAAGTGCTTTGGGTGGGTTATACATAGCAGAAATCTAAATATACCTATTTAGTGCATTAGGCTAAAAATCTCAAAAGTAAACCTTGGATGTCTTCATTTTCAGAGTGAGTGTTAAAAATCTCAGTACTCTTCCTGTGGGGAAGACACAAAAAGACTCCTAAATCTGCATTTCAGATTTCTCCCTTCTACCAAACTACCCCTCAATTACCGTTACTTTCTCGGTGTGTGTAAATAAAAATATGGTCCTGTGTGCAAAATTTTAGGTATTATATGCAAAAAAATTACTTTTACATTTAGGTGATTAACCTTCGATCTTTCTAGCCTGGAATGTCTACTCTTACTTAATCCTGGAGATAAGCCAGGAAGTCCGATGGACACAAGGACATCAAGTGTTTCAGGCAATATGATTACACCATCACTGGTCATATTCTACATGTAATTCTGGGGAGGAAAAATCCAACTGGTCTACCTCAACTGGCTTATATGCTACTTGAGAAACTTTGGTACTCTCACCAAAATCACACAAAATGTGGGAAGCAGTTCCCTACAGAAATAGTAGAGCATTATTCACAAAAGAAGGAGACAAGGATGTTTAGTGTGGAAAACAAAGAGTACATTACACTATACTATACACTCAGAAGACTTCAAAAAGTACAAACACACCCAAGAAATGACACAGGACATCAACATTATCTTCAATGTAAAAGATGAGAAAACTGAGCTTGGCAAACACCAGGACAGTGTTCTCCTTTATTAGTGAATTCCAGGCCAGAGCACTTTATTTTGTCAACTGCATGCCATTGCCAATTATGTGCTTTTCTGGATAAAAAGGTAGCTTTTGAAGTGTAAAACACAGGATCTTTGCTAATCAGCAGATAGAGAAAAACTGCAAAGAACAATTTAGTTTATGTTAATCTACTGTGAAAAGGCCCCAAACCAAGTTCATATTTTTAAAAAACTGTTCAAGAATACATGTAGCACTGTAAAATAATCCACTACAATGAAGTGTGACAGGTCCCTCTCCCACTGAAAAACAAATACTATTTATGTCTTTATGCAATTTAAGTCTTCTATCATTAATATAAGAGAACATGGACTTAGAAAATATGAACTTTGGCTTCAAAATCAACTTTCCAGAAACTCTGATTCCAAACACATTTACGTGCTCAAATGTCCACTAAAAGCATAATCCTTTGATGGCTTTAAGTTGCAACGTTCTGTTCTTTCTGATGACAGATTCAGGGTTTTCTGTTTTTTATTTTGATTCATAAAACATCTTTGAAAAATGGACACTACTTTAAAAAACTCAGAACTTTAGGACCCATATTTTAATCACT